CAGTCCTGACTTGTCACAGCACGACCTTCTCAGGGCCCACAGACTTACACCCTCCCGACCTCAGGAGTCACAGCATGGAGAGGGAAGTTCAGGAGAAAAGCTAAAGGAGTAAGCATGGTAAAATCCAGAGACGGAAAACCAAGAGGAAGCAAGGTGTCACGGAAGTGAACTAGAGGGCGCTGTCAGGAGAGAGCAGCACAGGAGGTCACTCAGGGGAGCATCTGCAGAGTCCTGACTGGAGAGGGGGACAGCCTCAGAACAGCAGGATGAAGGGGTTGTCATTTCTGCCACAGCACTGAGGCAGGGACCATGACAATCCCAAGTATGGGCGGTGAGCTTATGCCTAAGGTTACTGAACAGCTATTCCTTCACCACGAAGTTTATCATGTGCTGTTGTTGATACACTGCAGAAGTTTAAGGAAGAGACTCAGCAGGGAGCCAGGGTTCTTACTCTGCAAATATCCTCAGCCTATGCAAGAAGAGGGCACAGAGGTGCTGTGAGTCAACACCTGCCCTGGAGCGGGGCTGTGGCCTGTGTACAATATAAAGGTGGAATTGACGCTTTCTCTTCCCCCTTTTTGGCTCTGGCTGCTGCCTTGAAGTGATGCCCCTGTGCCATGCCACCCTGCCCTGGAGCCTGCTGATTATAGACTGAAACCTCCACAAACTGTAAGCCAAATAAAGCTTTTCTTCCCTAATTTAGGGGTTAGGTAATTTGTCCCGGCAATGAGAGAAAAGCTACCAAGATACCACGTTATAAATTTGGTGCTTAAGGTAATACTGAACTTCATGCTTATGAGATTTTTATCAGTGTAAACTTTATTCTAAGAAATACAAATGCAAACGTTAGTGTCGAGGAGACACACAGAGCACCGTGTCCAAAACACATGCCTTTAAACTTGGTGACACCTCCACGGGCAGGGTTGGTTCCACGTGGGCGTTGGCTGCACAGTGGCTTCAGCACCAAGAGCACCTGTGCATTTTAGGGACAAAAGAGCAGCTCCTCTTGTACGGCTGAAAGTTTCAGGAGATGTCAAGCATGCATAACTACCTGAAATGCCTGTGTATTACAAGCGGTGTATTAAATAGTATTACATGTTGGGTAAATGTCCTTCACTATTATGTGTTTGAACTTTAAGAAGTTTCTTTTTGCCTGATGGGGAAACTGGGAGAAAGAGCAGACAAAGCAACAGGTTACTTCCTGTGAATTATTTTGCCTGCTATCTGTTGAAAAACTGGCAAACTTCCTTCTAAATACATAAAACACAAATGCCTATTCTATCACTTTTTGTTTAAATTTTTATAGACTCCAGGCTACTTCTACTTGAGATGTGAATGTAAACAACTGAAAAGCAAATGTATTAAAATAAATTCTAGCTGTGTATTCTGTATTATTCCACATGATACACTTTTGCTCCCTATTTTCTTCTCATTCAATTTACTAGGTATTTGGAAGTCTTCATTTATTAATGTAAAATGTCTTCTGTCGGTTGTTAATTCTGAACATTAAGCAAAGAGAAGAATGATTTTCTAGCTGGGTAAGCAGCCCTTAACTGTGTAAGGCTACGCAATCTGTGGCTGCTCTACCCAGCATCAAATGTAGTTGACTTTGCTAGCTCTGGCGATTATCTTTCAGCTCTGTGCTGGCTTTCCTTCCTTATTCCCTTGTGTGGCCCGTGATGGAGTTCACTTGGCCACATGTAAGGAAGCCTTGTGCTCAGGGTGAGCCCTCAGGAATGTCCAGGTACAGACGAGAGTGCGGAGGGGCTGTAATCAGGGCCAGCTGTGCGAGAAGACGAACCTGGACTCAATTTGCTGGGCCTCTCTATAATCAGGCAGGTTAATTCCCAAGAGGAGCACATTCCCCATTCTCAAAGCTTCCAGCTTCGCAGACTGCAGTGAGATATTTGACTACCGTCTCATTTATCCGCTTTCTGGCTGGGCCTCACACCTACCTGCTTTACTCAGAAAGATTTTCTGACTCATGTGGAAGAAAAATGAATGCAAACGAACTATTCAACAGCAACATTAGTGCCAAACGATAGGCTTGAGGGGAAAAGCAGGATTCTCAGTGTAGTTCTCAGTTTCTTAAAAAAAAGTGTACAGATCTTTCAGATTTTAAATTATTTTACATTTTTTTTGTTACTGTGGCAAGAACACTGAACATGCGATCTCCCCTCTTAACACATTTTAGGTGCACAACGAGTAATTTTTACACAAATATTATGGTATGTAGCAGGTCTTTAGATCTTCTTCATCTTCCGTAACTGCAGCTTTCTGTCTATTGATTTAGTAATTCTGAAACCTTCCTTTCCTCAGCCACTGGCAACTGTTACTCCACTGACTCTGAAGATGACTGCGTAAGTGGATGTGACATTTCCTCATGTAAGTGGAAATGTAATTTTTGGGGGGGGAATGGTGTGATGTTAACTTAGTGTAATGTCTTCAAGCTACATCCATGTTATCACATATTGTGGAGTTTCCTATTCATCAAGGCTGTACAGTATTTTGTTGTGTGTATATACCATTTTTATTTCCTTCCCTGTCAATGGACATATATGTTCTTCTCATCTCTGGACCATTTTGAATAATGTTCCAATGAATGTGGAAGTGTTCTAAAATATCATAAACGCAACTGTTTGGATAAATACATAGAGGAGAGATCAGTGAGTCTTATAGCAGATGTATTATAATATCCCAAGGCCACTCTGCATTGTTTTCCATGGTGACTGCACCATCTTTCTTCCCATTAGCAGTGTGCAAGGCTCCTCTAGTCTCCCGCATCTTCTCCATCACTTGTCCCTTGTTTTCTGATGACCTGCATACTGACAGGTGTGAGCGCTAGCTCACCCTAACCCTAACCCCTAACCCCTACCCTAACCCTAACCCTGACAACTGCTTCACATATTTGTTGGTACTCTGGATGTCTTCCTTGCAGAAATGTCTGATGCAAGTTCTTGTATCATTTTTCAATTCTGTTATCAGTTGTACTGTTGTTTTGTTTTGCTATTGATTTGCAAGAACTCCTTATAAATATTTGTATGTTAACTCTTCATTATATATATATATATGACATAACATATATAAACCATAAACCAGGTATTTTCTTCCATTCTATAGGTTTCCTTTTGAATACTGTATTCATGCAGTTTTTACTCTGGACGTGAGAGCTACAATTCAAGTTTAAACAAGACATGGGTCCAATATTATAGGCTCTTGTTATCAAGTGAGAGGCAGAAGAAAGACCCCAGAGCAGGCATACAGAGAGTGTCGTGGAGGGATCCATGCAGTCGCTCTGGGAACAGAGGCCGAGCATCCAAACAAGTCTGAAGAGGGAGAGAGGTGTCAAGGGGTCCTCTGAATTTCCCACAATGAATGGGAGGTACTATGTAACTTATATACATTAGAGATTATCTGTAACAGTGTCTTCCTATTACTTTGGATTCTTTAGATATCCTACATATGTTTATAGAATGACATTAGCACTTTTTAAAAGCAATCATAACCTATTAATAATAGCCCAGTTTATTTAACAATTTTTTTTTAAAGTCCCCTCTATGCCACTAAAATCAACAGTCTTAGAAAAGGACTAAGCCTTGCATTACCCAGTACAACCTTACAGCACATGCAGTACACAAAGAGTTCAGTGTGACAAAAAGTTTGGGGGTAAGTCAAAGTTAGATGTGTGTGTGTGTGGACTCAACTCTTTGATTATTTTCAAATACACATAAGCTATAAAGCATCCGGGTGCTTCAAAGTGTGTGACACTTCTTACCAGCACTTCACGCCTTTATGTAGATAATTTTCTCCTAACTACCTGAATATGTCAGTTCATATTTCTCTTTTCAAGACATACAAAATATTCAAATAATTCTTATAGGTTCCTTAAACACAAACCTTAGAACTAGAAATGAGCCACCTCTTCCTGGAAGGTGGAAATTCCCACCAAAAGCAAAATGAAAATCCGGGTGCAGTAACACATCTTACAGAAACATCTACCTGGCAGGCTGGGGCAGGCAAGTTTCAAGGTCAAGGCTGCAGTCTAGGGAGCATAGTGAGCCCTTTGCAAAAGCAAAAAAGAGAGAGAAAGAAAACAGAGAAGCCCACCGGCATCTCTGCAGTCATCATGTGGATAAATAACACAGTTTTTATTTGACTTTCTGAAATACAAGGAAATGGATGATTATTTTTCATTAGTTTTTTTTTTTTTATTGTTGTTTTGTTTTTTCTTCTTTAGTGGATCCTCAGCAACTTTGGAAACCAAGCTGAATGAGAAGCACTGACTGTAAAATGTGGCCTCAGTCAGAAAAGGAAATAAGCTCACAATAAGAGTCAGCCAGGCATCTGAGGCTGATAGGGAGTGGTGCTCTCTGCGGTGCATCTCCCAGGTGCCTCCGCTCCAGGCCTTTCCTCGTGCAGTAAAACAATGCTTCAAAACATTTTAACTACGGTACACATCTTCACAGCGTGCATTGCCTACAGAGGTAGCAAGTATTCTTCTAAAATATTATACCTAAGAAAGATTGGTCGTAAAGTTTTCTTTGAAACGATTCATCCACTGACACAGTTTTTGTTTTGCTTGTTGCGTTTGGTTTTTGCTGCTGTAGATTGCTTTCTGTGTACACAAGATAGTTCATGTGCCCACGTTAAGGCATATTTAGAAAACTGAGAAGTACAATGCTTTAAGTGCCGTGTTATCCAAGAAAAGCTTAAATTGCTATTTTTCCATTCCTCTTCTGACTTAATCAGATTTTTATATTTAGAATCTGTACATAAGAATCAAGTAGACCCTAAGGGTGGAATTCTTTGAATCTTACATTAGTCAGAAGGCTCTTGCGTATCATGAAAAGCGTGTATTTCCCACCACAGAGTTTAAGAGACTTTCTGTTGGGGACTAGAGCTTTTTAAGAACAAATGTTGCCCTCCACATCACCATCCACTTTCTCTCTCAAAACGACTTAGATATTAGAACTAAGAAGGTGCTGTCATCTGACACCCACCTTTTTGTCTTTGTTGTATTTAGTGAATATCTCCTGTGCTCTCTCTTCTCCTCCGTCCGTGAAGAGCATTATGATCTTGTTGCAGTTGGCTCTGGACACATTATACTGTTAAAGAAAAAAGGATTTGCAATGAGTGGGAGAGCAGACCAGCGGGGAAAGGGCACATGCAGAGGGCAGTCACAGGGGCACTGCCGGCACCGCAGAAAGGGTCTCACAGCCTGGTCAGGGTCAGCCATGTCCGCCCCTGCGCCCAGCGGACTGAGGAGCTCATGACCCACCTTCCAGGTATCTGATCAAGTGCCACCCTCCTGCAGACACCTTTGTCACTGCCTTTTCCATCACAAGCTCCTTACCAAACTGCATTTTTCCTTACACCATTTCCTACTCTCTTACCTCTAGTGGATGTGCGCCTCCAGTAGAAAAAAAGACCCATAAAAGCTGGCAATTTTGCCTGTTTTGTTCAGTGCTGATTACCTGCTACAGAGAGTATTGAGCACACAGTAATCTCTCCACGATTGATCAGTAAATGGATTTTAAAATAATAGATGGGTATATCAGTTTTATACCCTGGTAACTTTATAGCCTGAAGAGGTCGCATTAAGAAATAGCACACTTACCTTTTCACACACTATCCAAACCTTCTTCCTCTCTTCCCTCCTTGGTCATCCTATTTCAATCACCTTTACACGTCCAACGTGACCAACTCCCCAGTGCTCCCAATAACAATCCCTCAGTCCTCTGTAAACAGGAAGCCCTCTCCCTGGAATATTATCCTGTCCGCTCCCTTCTGGCCCCACACATTCTAACTCGGATAGGCTGGACTGCAGGGAAAAGTCCTCTTACACCATAAACTTTCCAAAAGGAATTGTCTGCAGGAAAACAATGAATTAGGACAAAAAAAGCCCACCCACTCAAATGAACAATTTAAAAAGCTGGACTTCGAGGTAGTTCACTATAGTGTCAGCGTTTTTACTGTCATAAAATGGATTTCTGAGAAAAACACAACACAGAAATTTGTGAAGTGCAGCTTTGAAAATATCAACCTGCTACTTCAGAGTTAGCCAAAGGAAACAGAGTGTAAGCTCACTAAACAATTTTAAATTTTCTAATAGCTATCCTAAGGTGAGTAGTAAGTGTTTATAATTGAATCTACTATTTCATTTCAACCTGGAATCAATAGAAAAGTTATCGGGATAACACATATTTATTATTATTCTCCCACAGTAAGTCTCCAAACTTCAGGGCGTATTTTACACTCACACCTCATCTCACTTCAGATGAACCCTAACTCTGTTATCAACAGAGACACACAGCATCACTGCGACTGCCGTAACTGGTCAGCATTGTCCTGGCTTCTATATGATTAATCTTTTAAAAAAATATTCCTGTTACTTCAGTATTCAAGCTTATTGAAAGTCCATATTCCTACTTTTCAAAGATGAAACCACTTCCTGGTGTAAAAAGTAATGAAGACAACATGTTTTCTGCTTGTAAAAGACCTAATTGTGTGGAATCTCGCCTTACTGAAGAGGAGGGCATTAGCACCCTGGCAGTGCAAGCAGTCCCTGAAGCATCTGGACACAGGAGCACTGACCAGTACGCCCCTCACACTCCACCACGGTTCAGATCTTTCAAAATAACCAATCCGCACATTTGAGTCTATGGGAAGTTACAGATCACATCATCAACATATGTCTGGGAAAGGTGCCTCACAGTGTCCTTCCTTAATGTCTCTGATGATTTATTTTTTTATAAACAAAATGGGTGAAATAATACGAATCGAAAGGACTACTACCTGGCAGTGTAAAGGAAATAAAGTTTTACTGAAGCCAAGGAAATGTTATTATTGAATGCAAATGTTAATGCCGGTTAACACACCAGGTCTTGCTGATCATTTTATTTTGTATGCAAAATAATATTACAGTGATACTTCCTAGGGAAGAGAGCCATTAAACCACATATCTACCATGGGAAGAGTCCAGATATTTTATTTTCAGCACCGAGTTTTCCCTAGAAGCAGGCTTTTTGGGATCTGAGGTAGAGTAACATATATCACAACAAATTTTCCATGAGTTTGCACTTACCTAAAGAGACACATGGTCACAATAATTAGCATAACTGCCTTGTAACAAATTTGAGACAGAGAGGAAAAACAAAGCAACTATTTCCATAAAAGCCCAGTCAGCAGTGCCGATTATTTATTTTAGCGTGATAGCTCAGAACGCACTGTCTGTCTGCTGTGTTCCTGCGTGGCCAGGCCTGGCGCAGTACCCATCAAGTATGCACACAACAAAACTGCTTTGAAATTGCATCTCAACGACTTGGTTATATTTTACCACCTTCTACCTGCAGACAGATGTGAATCTTCATTTACATAGCAGCATGGGACTTAAAGCCTAATTCTATTTGATGCTTGTTTCAGTGGCTTCAAAGGCAAATCACACAAGGACGATACCAGCCAGAGGACGTGTAGCTAATGATAAGAGCTAAGGTGCGGGAAGGGAGGCCGCCACGCTGCGTGAGGCCAGCCAGGACACTTGGAGAAATTCTTTAAATAAAAAATTTCGAAACGGGGGGGATGTGGAGAAACAACACGGGAGCCCAGGAGAATCAGTGAGAATGCATTAGAAGTCACTGAGGACTGTGGAGAAGCAGGCGGAGGGAGTCATGTTTTGTTTATTAGCAGCTGGCAGGGATCCCGGGGTGCGGGGCCTCTCTGGGGGTCCAGCCCTGAAGTCGCCGTCTGTCAGGAGACCCCTGGCCATTAACCCGAGCCCCTGGCGAGAGCAAAGGAGGCAGGGCCCTAATAATGCAAAGAATATCTACAGTGCCCAGGTGCAGAAAGCTCTAGGAGTGACTGAAGGAAAACTTTAATTTGAAATTAATTTGAATCACGGGCAAATATATCCAAGCTTTGTGCTCAGTGGAACATCTGAATTCTGACGTTCTGAGCTTTCAGTTTTTGTTACTGAGCTGGCCACTCCTGACACTGAGAACAATGTCTCCCAGCAGTGGCCGTGTTTACCTCCTCTCCTGCTCTGCCTGCTTCTGGGCTTGTTTAATGCTGTCTGTTGAATGCTAAGGCCACAAACTCACCCTATCTGACGCGGAGCTATCTACTCCCTGATCCCCTGGAGGGTTCCTGGCACCTGCACCCTCACTGGCACCATCCCTGTCCCACTCCAGTCACCGCTGCCAGCTGAGCTAAAGCCCCAGCCTCACCGTAATTTCTACCACTTGGACACGTTTGTTCCCTTAGGAAAATGATCTTAAATACCTAAACTTACTGTTTGAAATGAACACATTTCTAGTACCCACTGATGATCGGAAGTACACATCTCTAGCTAACTACTGCAGCAGTCGAGGTGAGAAACAGACAAGATGCTTTATACAATCCAGATTTTCATGGACTGATTCAAAAGTAGATCAAATCGGTAACTTACAAATGAGTTTTCCAAGTTAGAATCTGAAGAAAATGAGGGAATAAAAGGTCTAAAAGAAAATATGTACTGTATGAACCTTTTGAAATTTAGGTTCAAAAATAAGAGTTCATGCATTTTTACTGCCTGTGTTCCCCTAGTGCAACTGTTTCTAAATAAGTTAAAGCCAGCGTGGCTATGGAGCCCTAGAGAGGAGTAACTATCAGGAAGGGAAATCCAGATAGGATAACTCCAAAATAAACAACAATCATAAAATGGTGATACTCACGTTAAGTAACTGCTCAAAAGCAAAACTAAAGCCTTTCTTGTAGTCCGTGATTCCTTTGGCCGTGATGTTGTTCACTGCGTCTTTCAACACTTTCTTATTTCTTACGTTTGCTTGGACGAGGTGCTGAAAGCAGCTTACATCCTGAGCGTTGCTGTTAAACTGGAGAGGATAAGGAAAGAAAATACAGAAGTACCCATTAGAATCAGCTGTGCAGTCTCCGTGGAGTTTGTGTTTCAGGCAGCTCAACCCCAGGATGTTGCTTCATCCTCCACAGGAACAGTGGTGTCCAGGGAGCGGGACAGATTAGGGCAGCTTCATTTAAACCTCTGCTCATCCCATCCTGGCGATCCGTCACCTTCCCACATCCTGGCTTCCCTGATTATGAATTTCAGATTTGGGTCCAATGATGTCACTTCTGGATCTCAGTTTGGTGAACCTGTACCCCCTCCCCACAAAAAGAAAGAATTAAAGACCGCAGAATATACTCAAGGTTTGAAAGTGGCCCAAGACGTCTGCCTGGGAAGCAGGGAGCAGTCAAACATTTTTCATTGCCTCCCCTCAGGAATGGCCACCTGGGGAAAAGGCCCTTTGCTAAGAATAGATGCTTAGCAGTTCTGAAATTTAATGGTGGATTTGTTTTGTGGGGCTCAAACCAGAAAGCAATCTGAGAGAGCCAAGAATAATGGGTGGTCTAGAAATGTCATGGTGTAGGGTACAGGAGGGGCACAGCAGGGGACCAGGGAGGCCAGCAGATCATTCCTATGAGGCTCCAAGAGGAGAGGATGAATCCAAGGGTACCATTACACACCAAAAATCCAAGATAATCTCACCAAATCTATGGAGCATGCCCAGAGTTGGGAGAGTATGTCCATGAGGACAGGGTTATAGAGAGATGCAGTGCCACCTAGAAGTATCCATCTGCATTAATTCTACAATCAAGTCCATTCCTAGGCCACCAAGGCCTCAACCGCCACATGGACAGAATGGGAATGACAAGAAACAGCTGCTGGGAGGCAGGTGACAGGCGGGGTGATGTGGACAGACACTTTCAGATCAAAGTGATTTTGATGTGAGGCCCCAAAGCAGGTACCCATTACTAGAGATGCCATGTTCTCTTTCCTTCGAAACCACCAAGCTTCACTGTAAGTACACGGCAAAGTTTGGCAGCCCGCAAAGCAAATATTCACCAGCAGCCAAGAAGCAAAAGAGATGAAAATACTGTGCTTTGGACAGTCAGTGGCTACTCATGCACGTACTCTTTCATACACCGAGACTGTAAGACCCACAGGGAGATTACTGTATGCTAAGGTCAACACAATCCTCTTTGCAGATGCCTTCCAAGGTAAGCATGATCCCTGCTACATCTGACCTGTGAGGAGTCTTAACACAGAGAGGCTGAACAGCCCAGGAGGGACGGAAGTCCTGTAGGTCATAACAAGCAATAAGAGTTGGGATTCAAACCAGCACCCTGGTCCGAGCCTGTTTTCAACCAGCACCGTGCTGCCTGCTGCCTATGAATGCAGCCGGAAGCATCGCTGCTGGTTCTTCCTGTAAAGAACCACCACATTAAACCCGGGAGTCGGCACCTGGCAAAGGGTCTCCAGTCTGCACTGCTGGGGAAGTTCTTCCGGGAAGGGAACTTCCTGTGACTCTGGAGAAAGGCTCCCTGCAGGGCACAGGAGAAGCTCTGCAAGTATACACAGGCCGTGTCACCTACAGCAGGAACATGGAGGAAGGCAGCGTGGCTCTGTCACACAAGAACTAGTGACATGGGTCCAGACTCAAGGCAGGACTCGGTCTGCAGTGCTCTAAAGGGAATGCTAGGGGGGCTAGGGCTCCATTCTCTGTCAACAGAGGATAAGAACCTCCACTGGAGAGATCTATGCCAATGGCACGATAATCCGACCTGGAATCCCGAGACTGCCCTGGCTGCTGGGCTGGAAAGAGATTTAAGATATGCAGCATTGCAGGAGAGGGGTGACCACGGGGGTGAGCACAGTCACCCAGCTCATGGCACTCAGTGGCTCTGCCATTCCTGGAGACGACGGCAGGAAGCTTGGAACTGGTTCTGAGCAGTGCTGGACCATGCTGCTGGGCTCTGCACGCAGTGAGTTCGGGGCTCACCTTGCTCCCAGCCCAGGTGTGCTGGACTCTGGACCAGTTCAGGTCCAGCTGGGCAAGAGATGCAGAGCTCAACTAAGGCTGTGCTTTCAATGTGGATGAGAAATCCTCTAAGGCGAGGCTCCAGGAAGCCTTGGGTTAAGATTAACAAAGCAAAACAAATCAACCCCCAGAACAGAAGCAGAGATTTGCTCTAAAAATCTGGCTAAAAGCCGCAGGTGGGCCAGAGACGCAATACAGGAAACCCTAAGATCCAGGTGCAGCGACCTGGGGGGAGAGTGGAGACCCAGGGTGCTGATGAGGGCAGGAACGGGTCTGCAGGGGAAGACTGAGGCCCCAAGACCCAACTCGGCAGCTGAGGCAGGAGAGGGTCCTGGAGGCTGAGAGTCAGCGAGGATATCCAGGGTGGGCCTCGGGAGGCCTTGGGAGGCCGAGTGGTGCAGGGAAGACAGGGTGCCGGGGAACAGTGGCAGTGAGAAGTGAGGGGACCGGCCACGTGCTGGGCATTCCCCTACAAAGAGGCCTGGCTGGAAGCAGGTGGTGAGACCCCAACAGCTCTGCAGCCAACAGAACCCAGGCGGGAAGCACGGCTCCCTGTTGGGCACACAGTCCAAGCCCTTCCTCACTTCTGCTGTCAACACCACTGTCAGGCACACTGGACATATGAGAAGAAATACATTTACTGTATCATTATTATTATTTTGGCGGGTACTGAGAATCAAACTCATGCCCGTGCACTTGCCAGGCAGGTTCTGTGCCACTGAGCTATGTCCCTGGCTGTATTTATTATTAATATATCATTACTCAATATATTCATTAACTATTTTTGTGAACTGCAAGGTTCAAAACCCATTTTCTTCAACCCAAGTGATCAGTCCCTTTGCATTTTCTGCTCTTTGATAACTGGCTACAATCATGCTCTACTTTGAAAATTAAAGAATATGAGAATTTGCCCTATATTACTAAGGAAAAGAGCCCACCAATTTATTAAAAGGAAACATCTGACATTAGAGAATTATAAGAAATAGTTACAGGAAATGTTATTAACTGGTTCTCTTAAACCATGAGTCATTATGAAGATAAAAATTATGCATAAAATGAGTACTGATTAATGAACTGGGATCCCCACGTCTTTCATTTGGCCTTGGCCTGTTTTTAACACAGAATATTGAAGCATCTCATTAAGTTATTTTAATATAAACTGATTAAATGTAAATTTGATTCACTAAATACAAATTCAGTGATGTATAACAGAAATATTACAATTTCTCTCATAATACACGTCATAAATCATGCAGAGGGTGCAGTAACTTAGGAAGTACAACTCCCTGCAGCAAATCTCACCCTGCAAGCACAGGACGAGGAATGTAAAGACTCCAGGTCAGGTAATACGCTTTGGCACTTTACACTCCGTTGCCTTTACAGTGCGTGTGTGTGTGTGTGTGTGTGTGTGTGTGTGTGTGTGTGTGCTTCACACACTTAAATGCACCCTTTGGTAACACGTGTCCAGATATTAAACCACCTTTTAAAACCTCAAAGCGACCGTGTAAGAGCTTTGAAAAACTCTGAAATTCTGTAGGGTGAGTGAAAAGCAAGACTTGAGGAGCTCTGCTTTTATCTTAAGAAAATGCTTCTTTTGAAAGTGTATAAACCCAAACAAACATCACAGCCATGCCTTTTCCAATCCCGGAAACCCAGCTCTCCTCTGTGTCTGTCTTTGGTACAGAAGAACTAAGGGTTGTCATATCACATTTTTTTTTTTCTGTCTTGATAGACTGTCCTGTTACTAGTTCACATGGGCAAAAATACTGCACTCCCCACCACCTGCAGGGGTGGTACAGGACTGTACGCTTCTGCATTTACTGAATGGATGTCTGTGTAAAGCCTCAGATGTGAGAAGGTTAAAAACTTATGCAAAACGCTGATCAATAATCAAGCCAGATACTTCTAAGGTAGGGTAGTATGGTAGTATTGAAATCAGAACATGTTAATTAAGGACAAAGATTCAAGTAAACATTCTCAACTTTAGGACCTTTAAATAAAGGTCACTAAAGGACAACCAGAGCCTACCTCAAATGCTAGGCTTGTTTGAAATAGTTTCTGAGACAAAACTTCATTGGTACATTTCAATGCTCCCACGCAAAACAAAAGAAAACAAAAAAAATTGTCACAGTCAAGGGCAGGGATCTCATTAAAGGACAATCAGGAGTCACAATCACACAATCAGTCACTAATTTCCCAAAGTAAGCAGAGTTCTCCTTTGGTGAAGGCAGTTTCCTTCTTCTTAGCTGCCCTCTGTTGCAGGAGAGATGCTTGTCCCAAATGTCCCTCCCTCTGCTGATGGCCCTCCTCCCTGGTTCCCAGCGGGGCAGCCAGGACGCCTGGGGTCCTCTGTCCAGGAGAGGGAACTGGATGCTCCTCCTCCTGGAGCACAGGTCTCCCCTGCAAGGAACAGTAACTGGGCACCAGGGTTTCACCCTGAGCACTCTAGGAGTTCAGGGTAAAAGAGAGCTGCAGAGAGGGAGAACCAGGTCACCTTTGCATGGCTGTGAAGCCCAGCACTGCGGGATCAATGCTTCCCACAGCCTAAGCTGATGCTGGGGTGACCTGCAGCGGGGCCCCTGCACCCTTTCTTGTGTGAAGCATCGCTTCTGTGGGCGAAACCTGGGTAATTTATGAGGCCTTGATGCTGGAAAAAGGACCAGTGTCTAAAGTGTTTCTTAGAAGACTCCCTAAGATCCTCTTTATAAAGTAAAATAAACCTGGCGCAACACTGTGGGTCAATGATTAGCAAAATGTGAATTCAAATCAAAACCCTCTGTCCTTTGAAACATGGGTGATTGTTCAACTAGAATTTGTTGGTGAACTTTTCAATAAAAGACAAATAGAATTATGACACACAACAAAGTGAGATGCGGCCATGAATTTACAATTGGGGCACAAGTGAAACTTGTGGCAGAGCCGCCCAGGACGGCGGCATCTGGGGCTGTGGAGGTTTCGGTCAGCAGATGGCAGCCCAGGGAAATGGACGGGAAGGG